AGTATAAGAATTTCCATTGGATGTCAGACCCCTGATCCTTTCAGGCCAGAATTCTCTGACAATAACAAACATTGGGCTGAAATGAGGGAGTTAGCTATTGTCCAGAGCTCATACTTTTTATGACTCTATTATTTATTTACTTATTATTTTAGTCAGCTTTCTCACTGCTGCAACCAAAAGACCTGACAATTTTAGAGATGGAAAGTTTATTTGGGTCTCGTGGTTTTAGAGATCTCAGTCCATAGACAGCTGACTCCATTCCTTGGGACCTGAGATAAGATCATGGCAGAAGGATGTGGGGAGGAAAGCAGCTGGGGACATGGCACCAGGAGAGGCAGAGGGAGGTCCCCTCACTACAAACAAAATATAAACCCCAGTGGATTATCACACTGATTAGATTAAGGCCCTCATAACCTATTTCACCCTCTAAACATTTTTTCATTGTTTCACACATAAGCTTTTGGGGGACACTTAATATTTAAACCATAACATTTTTTTTTGTGGTATTGGGGATTGAACCCAGGTGTTCTATCACTGAGCTACATCCCCTAGCCCTTTTTATTTTGAGACAGGGTCTCCTTAAGTTGCAAAAAGGCTGGCCTCAAATTTGCAATCCTCCTGCCTTAGCCTACTGAGTTGCTGGGATTATAGTATGTACTACCATGCCTGGTTTATGACTCTTCAAAATATTTTTCAATAGCCTATGAGGTTGGAAGCTCTACCAAGAGTTGTTTTGTGTTTATCTTGTAGGGTGACTTCAAAAATTAAGCACATACTTCTTCTACCTCCTGCCTCTCCCCAAAACAGCTTTTTTTTTTCTGTAGTACATCATTAGCTTATAACCATAAAGAGCAGAGGTAACTTTATGTATAGCAAAGAATACTAGAAAAGAAATGTCAGCTGTCTTTCCTGCCAAAGATGGAATTGTCCTTGGACAGTTCACTTTGCCACCCTGGATTCAATTTCCTTCCTTGTGAAAGAAGAGTTAGCTTGATTGCACTACCAGTTCTCAACACTGGCTTCAAATTAGAATCTTCAGGAAAGTTTTTAAAAACTTTTAATTTTTGTTGCATAGAAAAATAGTGACAACAGAATAAGATCTACAGCCTAGTTAACATATTGTACCAATGTTAATTTCCTGATTTTGATATTGTATTATAGATATTTAGGATGACAGTCATTACTGGAAAAGTTTGTTGAAGGGCACCTAAGACTCTCTGTATTGTTTGTGCAACTTCCTATAACTTCAAAATACAGAGTTAATTTTTTTCTCCCTAATCCCACCTGAGAGATGGTGATCTGTTGGTCTGGGATGATAAATTGGACATCATTGATTGTTAAATCTCTTCTGGTCATTGTAATATGAATCCATGGTTGAGGACCACTGTAGTAGATGATCTTTAGGTCCCTTTCTAGCAATAAAATATTATCAATCTAATTTATCTAAACCTCTTGCAACCACTTAGATGTTCATCATGTAGGGTGAGACAATAAGTTTATCATATACTGGGCAACAACTTTGTATTTGTCCTAAAGTTAGCTTTTCTTTGAGTGACTCCTTCAGTTTCAACCATCATTCTCCTCTAGCTGTATCAATAAGCTGCTGCTTCTCACTTGATGCCTTTCTCCATGACTGTGACCGTCACCAAGGGCCACTGCTTACCAGCTGCAGTTCACTTCCTGAGAGCCCTCCACCAAGACCCCGAAAGAAGGTACTACCAGCTCCATATGGGTCTCAGCAGGGAGGGAAGATGCTCCCTTTAGAGTCTTTGTATTCTGTTGACTTTCTCTCAAAGTTCCATGGTAAACCAGACTTTACTGAACAGTTGGAGTTAAGCAATGAGGATTAAAATGTGGGAAGGGAAAAATTAAAACATAATGCCAAATAAGACTGGGCATACAGTCCAGGAAAAAAGCAGACCCAACTTAAACCTCTCACAGGGAGCTCACCCGAAGATGCACCTCAATGCTTACCCAATCTCCCACTCAGATGAGTCTTCCTCACAGGGAACTTCTTTACACATCCACAGAGGGACTCAGTACTGGAGCCACTGCAGGGAAAGTGCTGTTTACCCTCTAACTCATCCTTCCTTAAGAGTCACACTTTCCTGGGATTTCAGTAACACAAGCAAAGCTCTTCTCAAAATCTGAGTTAATCAACCAAAAATTATGCAGTGGGAGAGGAGGGATGTGGCTTCACTAGGATAGTCCCAGGTGAGCTGTGGTACTTTAGGTCCAATCTTGACAGGGTGAGGGGAAGATATCTCCCTTTCCCTCCTGATTCTCCAGGCGACAACCAATGGAACACACACACACACATCCAACTTGCATATTTTCCCAAAGCCCATTACGAACAAAACTGTTTCCTAAAGTGTGATCTAGGACACATGCAAAGCTGTATTTTAGATGTGTTCATCTTCTAGCCCCTTCATCTTTCCAAAGGCGTCTTGGAGCATAAGGAATGAGGCCAATTAAAGCAGAGCCACCAGGCCCTAAATGGCTACCCTCTGTCCACACTAAAATCCAGCCCTGTGCTTTGAGACAGCCTGTTGACCCAATCCTGTTCTTCAGTGGGGCATCATCTCCATACTCTATCTGTAGGAGGAAGAGAGGCCAGGGGTGTGGGGACGGGCATTTTCCTGAGCAGCTTTACCAGTGGGTCACACAGGGGTTAGTTCTGTAAGTTTTGCTGATTTGTAATGACAGTGAGTCCAGGAGTGTATTAATAGAATTCATAATTCCACTGGGCTTGATCTAAATCTTTTTGAACTTTCATCTCTCTAACTAGACATTATTTTTAAAGACATTTTTTTAAAAATCAGCTGAAAGCCTTCTCTCCTCTATCACTTTGGTCATCCTTATCTATCTACACATTGCTCCCAAATGTTCACCTGCAGGCTTGATCCAGCTGCCAAGAAGTCCCATTCTGGCCACTGCTTAAGGTTACAGTTTCTAAGTGTTCATTGCATTTAGTTTTGTCTCATCTCACCTCTTGACTTCAAGAGTTGACCCTTAAGTTTCCCAGGAGTTTGATAATCAGCCCATACCCATCCGAACTGAAATTCTGGCAGATTTATATTTTTAAGATCACCTCCTTTTAAAAAACTGTGATTTGTATTTTGAAGGCATGTGATCAGTTTTACATATGGTAAGCACTTAACATTTTATTTAATTAGTTTAATGGTTCTTATTCATTCATTTAAACTTCCAGTTGTAATTTTATTAGATGCCTCTATGGCATGAGGAACTGGCTACAGATACACATGTGAAATTTAAGGCAAAAGAGCACATTCCAAAAAGTTTATTCTTCCAAGTATAGTGCATAGGAAGTGTATTGAGGCCTTTGGAAGTTCAGACTATAACATCAGGTAACTTGAGTAAGAGAACTCTTACACTGATTTGTATGTGATGTGACCTTGGGCAACTTATTTCATCTCTCCAAACTTCAGTTTCATCTATAGAAATGAGAACAATAATAATATGTATCTTATGTGATGGGTTGAGGATTACATGAGATAATACCCCAGCACTGGCCTATTGAGAGAATTTAGTATATGTGAGTTATAAGGATTGTGTTAATAGGTCCTTGAAGTGTGGGAAGAAAGAATGAGAAATAAGGGGGCTGGGAAATGATCTCTGTTAGAGCTGCAAGATAATTAATTCAGAAGGCAGAGGATTGAAGCCAGGGAAGAAAAGTAAAAGAAAAAGGAGGAGGAGGAGGAGGAGGAGGAGAAGGGCATCCAGGAAAGGGCTATATTGGTACCAAACACTAAACATCCTTGGTTTCTCTGCTCTTTGTCCTTGGAGATAACTGCTGGAGTGGGGTAGGGTGTACTAAGGGCCTTGGTCTGTGTCAATAGGTACTTGTTGACAACAGGCCAGTTTCAAGCCATTAAGAATCTAGTTTTATTGGCATGTCAGGAAGGCAGCGATTGTTCTGTTTTCCTGGCATAGCTATTCCATGAGGCAGGCTGGAACTTGTCCTGTTTGCCTAAGTCTCAGTTAAGTCTCCAGGGAAAGGACAATCAGGTGGCATCATTTGGAAAGCATCTCTGACTCAGGATAGGGAGAAGTCCACTGAATGACCATGGCAGTGGGTCAGCTTCTCTCCTGCCCCCACATCACAGGACTCTGGCAGCTTTGTGTTTGTCATCTTGATATCCTGGGGACAGACTAGCTCTTCTGGGGGAAGACTGACTTAGTTGTGATAGGAACAAGGTTGAATGACAAAGCTGGGGTTTAATGATCCTATAGGCTCCTGAACAGTCTTTTGTAAGGAGTAGCTCAACCACTGGAGAGGAAGGAGCAGGCTTTGCATTCCTTCAGACCCAAGCTTGGGTGCTTACTGGCTGGGTAACTCTGGGCAGGTGACTTAAACTTTCTGAGCCTCAAACTCCTCATTTTGTTATCAATTTTGTTATGAAGACTAAATGAGATAATGTGCCAGAAAACTCAAGACAATTCTGGCTCACAGGAAGGGCTAAAAGATGGTGGCTATGGTGTTATTGGTGTCAGTTGTTACTGCCATGATGCTGAAACTTGGGACATGGAAAATGCCCCTCAAGACTTCCCTTCAGGTATTAATCCTGTCCTTTGATTGTCCTCAGTGAACAAGATTTAATAGTAGAGTCTAGCACAGGTAGCTGAGGTCATTCCTGATCTTGAAAGACAGTGGGTTTCTTCAAACAGATCAATTGGAGGAAGTAAATTCTGAAAGTCAGTTTTGAATAACACAGTCAGTCCTATAAATCAATATGCAAACATGAGTCCATGACTTTTTCTGATGCTGCTCTTTGATAAATAGCCCCATTTAGAGGCAGGGCAGATTTTTCTCTTTATTACCTTCCCAGTGTGTCTAACCTCCATCTCATGCGTCTCATAAAATAATTTTAAAATCATCAATAAGATGAGACCACTCAAGTTTAGTGATCAATTTCCTAGCCTATTGGATAAAAATCAAGTCAAATTACTGTTGGTAATTTAAAAAATAACCCAGCATATAATAATAATGCAAAAAATTATTTATTAGTAAAAAAGAGAGAATTTGTTCGTTATACAGAAAAATAAAACAATGGAACATTCCCTACAAAAATGTCAACTGTGAGTTGGCAATTTTTTGTACAGCAGTCGTGGTACGATGACCAGGTTTGAGGACTTCATCTTAATACCTATATTAGCATCAGAAAATTGAAAGCAGTGACATGTAAACTGTGTCTGTGATATTTTGTTAACAGGTTGCATAAAGCAAAGTGTTATCTAGATGTGGTAGAAAAGTAGCTATACCCATGCCATGTTCCAAATTAGTGTCGTTTCTATTAACTATAGCAGATGTCACAGTTTGTTTCCCTCTTATAGAAATCACTGGCAGTGGCTGCCGAGGGTGCGAAGTCCATGCAGTCGGTGCTGGGGTAGAAGTACTCAGCTGTTCTGACTGCCTCCAAGTGCTCCGCCTCACAGGATGCGCAGTAGCAGACGGAGGCTGGGGCTGCAGGGAAGCAGTTGTACTGGGCATGTGAGGGCAAATGATGGTAGGAGTAGTCTTCCTGAGAATGGCCATGGTTTAGGGTGTCCAGAGAAGGGGGAGAACTGTAATTATCCGGAGGGTATGAAGGCAGCTGAGCCGGTGAGTAACTGTAGTCTAAGGAGCCAGAGAGAGTGGAGGAATCTGAAGGTGATCCTGGGGTCTAGAGAGTGAAAACCAAGGAGCAAAGAGCTCAGTAACTTAAACAGGATGAAAAGAAGCAAGCACCGTGGATTTATTCACACGGAGTAAGAAAATTAGGGGTAAAATCCCCAAACACAGAACCCAAGTCTGCAGAAGTAATTTTATTTGCTGACTACATATTTTCATGATACCACATTCTGTATTTACCTATTTCTTTCCAACAATAAATTGCCTTGCTTTACTGGCTTCCTTTGTTATTACCATATATTAGAGGATGTTTTGTTCTTAAACCACAAAATCCTATTGTGCTTCGGATCACCTGTATATGGAATCCTGCTGTTTGCCACAATATAAGGGGCAGGTGGCACCTTGGATATTTCTCCACACCCTTGATGGAGAAGAACCAGGTGAACACGGAACCTGCTCAGGGAAAACTTGGATCCAATAGGACCCAGCCTCTGGGCTATTTCCCATCACACAAGTCTTGTTCCCTGAGGAAAAAGGTACACACTTCCTTCTCTTTATGCAAGTCACCAAGAAACTTGAAGGCTTTCTTAGAAGAGCAATAGGTGTTTGGGGCCCAGTATTTTCCCCATAATAATATGCATATTCTGTAGTGTTAATTTCAATTCCTTCTAAAATTTAGTCTGATGCCCATATAGACGTCTGAAAAAAATCAAAATAAAAAAAATTTCAAATTTCTTCAAAAAGAAAAAGAAACACTTTAAAGTTTTAAAAATTATGAGTTTCTAAAATAACTAATATCTATTAATAGAAACCTTACTTCATTTAAAAAGATGACACATTTTCAAACACTTGAGATCTATATAGAACACAAAATTCAAATTAATTAAAAGATTAGGCTTCATTTTTACTAACCATCTCAGACCCAAATGAGTTCCTATGCCTACGGCAGATCCAAATAACCAGTTATTGGAGTCAACTCAGTAACAAAACAACAAAACCCCTTTATCTGAATGAAATTTCATAGTATGTACAAGCAGCCTTAATCCTGTTTTCAAGATCTCAAAAATCCAAGGGCCATTGTTTAAACTACCGATTTCTAAATTAGTAGATGTTTTAACTTCACAATTTAAAAAACATTAAGTATTACCAGGAAACCTTTTTATTACCACATATCAACTTACTTGGAAAATCATAATTGTGTATCCAAAGGCTTATGCTCTGCAACTGTGACTATCTTTATACATTGAATTTTAAATGATTCCTTGTTTCTGGATGGTTTCCTTGTTGATAGACTTTGTATAATTTCTCAGGAGATGACGCAAACTCTTACAAAGCATCACTACCCCAGAGTTAGCAACAATCAGGTTGTATAAAAAATGAAGATAAATTACCAGGCTCTGGTTAAAGCAGAAAGGGGTGGCCGGGAAGCTGTCTGGGAAATAGTGTGGAGGACTTTGCGTGCAGTTGGGCAACGGCTCTGACAGTGTGTCAGTCTGAAGATAGGAATCAAAGATCTGGTCCAGGCAGCTTGGATTTTCTTCACAAGAAACACAAGTGTTAAATTCTCGGGGTTGAAAATAATTTGGTGTGGAAGACATCGATTCAGGCTCAAAATACAATCCTAGAAGAGAAGGAATTTTTTTTTTTTCAAAATGGATTTGAATGGAGTTTTCTTCAAAATTTTAAAGAGTTACTATTCTAGGAAAAGCACTTAAGAAATTCCAGAAAAGTAAACAGGTAGGCAGTAACTTTTTAGTTATCTTAGTTAATTCAAGTGTTAGTGAAATGAATCTGGTTTAACATTGTGGCAATTGGCTTTCAGTGTGGCTAGGGTAAAAATGAGGCATGGTGGCCTGACCTGTGTCCAAGTGTCAAAGTGGAATAATGGTTCAAGCCTCTGCCATCACGGACTACAAAAGCATCGACAGCCTGCCCCTATCTGTAATTCAGGTAACCTTCTTAGAAGTAAATCAGAGGTATGTTCAAGGCTTTAAGAAAACTTCTGATGCTGTGGGAAATAATTCTCTTGATTCAGGGTTATTGTCTTCACACTTAATAATTTAAATTTTGAGGAGAGGGTTTTGAGAAGTGACAGGAATGACGATGCAAAGGATAAAAATGGAAACCAGAAACTTCTTTATGGAAAACAGTACTACTTATTTAAAATTACAAAAAGCAAAGCATTTTCTTAGTGGACATGTTAACAGGAGAGTACACTGAAAACCATGTTAAATACAAAACAAAAACAATTCGGAAATATCACTCCTTTTCCATTTTAGTATTAATAGGATTGACATGTAATAATTATCCTTAAGTGCTCAAGGAAGAGAGGTTTAGAGTATGCCCACCAAAGGGGCTCAAGGATATTGAATTTTTCTTTCTTTCTTTCTCTCTTCTTCTTCTTCTTTTTAAATCTCAAGTTCCTTTAAGTTAGAGTGACACATTCAGTGGGAACCCCCATCAGCACAGGTTTTCTTATATATGACCTTCTTAAACTCTTACCTGCTGAGTGGCATAGGAAGGACTGTTTATGTAATAGATTTATTCATATTGGGCTGGGAAAACTTACACTTGTTTGAACTGCTTTCTGGGAAGAGAGAGAAGAAGGGGAGGGAAGCCCCTGTCGGCTAGAAGCTAAATGAACAAGAACAAAAACATATTTTAGTGTCTCAGGATGTTCTATATTCCAACTACTAGTGCATTAAAAAATATATATAACATATTCTAAAAAAAATTCATATTGTAGTCAAGTTGGGTTACTTGCAGATGAAAAACTGGGATAAATGTGAAGAACATGATCTTGGGACAGAACAGGCAGCAGAAAAGAGACAGTTCAGAAATGAGGGCAAAACCCTGCACTAGTTTCCTTGCTGGGCTTGCATCTGGAGTCACTATGCCTTTTTCACCTTCTGATTGGTTGGATTCCAATTAAATGGTGGTGCCTATCTTAACCCCTGAATCAAGCACTGGAAGACCTTTGAGATGGACTTTTGAAAAAGTTTTTAAGGGAACTGTAATGCGGGCTGTACTGACCTGCAGAAGATGGTGCGACTGGATCTGAAAGGTGGATACTGGTGCCTCCGGACAACTGCCAAAGCAAGAATATGACCATGAAGCAAAGAGAAGCATATCATACAGGGAAAGCTAAGACTCGGACGGGAACTGTTTCCTGCTGCTGTAAGGTAAGCCAGATTCTTTCTTCTAGAAAAGGTTGTCTCCCTTAAATACAACCAATGCTATATTTTTTTTAGATTCAACTTTTATGTTTTTTTGTTTGCTTGGGTATTTTTCATGATATTAGAAATTTAATATTAAATTTTGATACACTTAATTTTTAAGTTGTTAATTTTGATAAAAATAATTTTTATGTTACAGAAATGTAACACTTTGAGAAAACTCAACAAAGTGCCTTCCTATTAAACTATTTAGTTTCCAATAGTGAGGAGTCACATTTATATAATTCAACTAGAACTTAGTTGTTTTCCTCAATTTTCACATAATATCTGATTTCTTAGTCTTAGGAATACATTTTTCTGAAAGAACATAATTCCTAACTTTGTTAAGCCTGAGAAGCTAAAAAATATTCACAGTCTTACTATCTATGAACTATTAAAATAGAAAATATTTTCTTAAAGGTACAATCAGGAGTTGAAGCTGATTACAACAGTTGAAGTAGAATCGACATTCTAGTCTAAGGTCAGGAAATATTTCAGCTCTTTATATGTTTTTTACCATTTTTAAATAAACGTTGCTCTTTTCATTATTGTATTTTAAACTTAATGTTTATGAAACTGTGCCTTTAAACTATTTACAGCAAAGCAGCCTGCATTTTCCTGTTGAATGGATAATTATACTAATGGAGTAATTTAGGATTTTTTTTTTTTTTTTTAAGATTTCAGGCGGCAGCTTTAAATTTTAAAGGGACAGTGTTGCTGTGGGATTCTGGTCTGGGAAGTTGATCTCACCACACCTCTCTTGGGTTCCAGGGCATACTCACTTCCGTACACTGAGCTACTGGGAGAACTGCACAGTCAGCCACTGCTGAAACAGGAGGTGGTGTTCATTCTGAAAATGATCCATGCTGTAATGTCATGAACCAGGAAGCTGGAATCCTTTACCAGCTCTTTATGCAAATATTTGGCTACAGCTTGAGCTGGAGGACTTGGAAGGAGTGAGTTTTAAAAAATCTGTTTCATTGTAGAGCTCTCTTTAACCCCATTTCTCCCCTGGATTGGCCTGTTTGCCTGCTCCCTGTTATCCTGTTGTTATCTCCCCGAGGTATGTTTACAATATCCTACTTGATATTATCTTTCTAGTCATGGGTTCACTTTCTACTTTGTCCCAACAATAAAAAGAAAAGTACCTTTCTCTTAGGTTTCAAACAGCACAAAACCTACAATCTCTACTTTATAAAAACACATCAAGGCTGTTAAAAAACAAACTAATGATTAAAAAAGGTAAATTATATATTTTGATAAGTGCTATCTCTTTACCCTGAAGACAAAAGAAATGTGTCAGTATATGAGAGAGAGGGGGGGAGGAGAAAGGGAGAGGGCGGGGGAGGGAGGGAGGGAGAGACAGAGAGAGAGAGAGAGAGAGAGAGAGATAGTATTTGCAAATTAATCTGGTTGACAGTGTTTTTAAGTTAAATTATCAGTCTGGCATGCACATGCACATAGTTTCTCTGGCACTGCTTGAGATCTGATATTTCTCTCAAACTATAACTTCATGTTTTCATGCTTAAATTTTTAACTGTGGAAACTACTCTGACTTTACAACAAATTAAGATAAATTTCTTCCTGTTTTGTAATATTTGATACTATTAATTCTCTCTTTGGCTTAAAGTTTCCCAGAGGTGTCCTTTAACAATTGAACAATTGAAGATAATCTCCATTAAGCTAGAAAGGCCTACCTACACCAAAGAGCAGGCATAAATTACCCTTGGGTATTTGCCATCCTTGCCTACTGAATATACTTTTGCAGCATTCCTAGAATCTCAGATCCTTCTGATGGCTCCCAGTGAGGGATTTTATATCTGGCTCGCCTTCTGAAATTATGTGTGTTACTTATACATGCTTGTGAAGGAATAGGCTGACAAAATCTTCCAGGAAGCAAAATAGTATTTTTCCTGCAAGGTGCTGGGTCAGGAGTCCTGCTTTATTTCTCCCTGGGAGTGTGTGTGTGTGTGTGTGTGTTTATGTTGGGGGTGCGGATTCAGAAAAAGTAAGTCTTAACTGCTCCAGGGAAACTGATTAGATACACAAATGAAATGCTTTACCTTCTGTAGCTTGCTAACAAGGGAACAGTGGTTAAACCAGTCTGTAAGGACCCTATAGCAATAAAGTTGCTTTGCCCAAATGGGATTTCTGCAGGTGCAGTTGAGGCAGAATTCTAGGAAGTATCAAAGCTCATTAGTGAAAGATATTGTTTTGTACTGAACATCTTGACTGGGACAGTGGGGAGGGGGAGGGTGTTTCAGACCTAATTTTATTAATTATATATAACCATCTCTGAACTGAAAGGATCAAAGTTACCAAACTCCTGCTTAGTATGGATGGGTTTTCTGAAAGAGAACTTAGAGAGTCAATAGGTGGGAAGGTTTTTTTAATGCTAAATATAATACTAAATATAAAACAACCTTGGTCCTATCTTTTGCTCAACCAATAGCAACTGAAAGACTGTGAACTTTAGCTATAATAGAGGAATGCAGATTTCTGATCTACTTATCCCCTCTGGTTATTATATAAACTAAATGAAACAATGAGTGTGCAAAAGTACTTTTAATGAAGAACCACTGTGAAGCCTTGTATAAATGTAATGAATTTTTAGTGACCAGAAATCCTGCAGGCAGAGATATTAACTTCTCTAGCTGTATTACAAATTCACAGCAAACTCACACCTGACTTCTAAACTCTGAACAGAGGGTTAGATTAAGATTATTGAATAGCTGACTTTCAATCCCTGGTTGTAATTTTATTTAAGTTTCTTTTCCCAGATAATATTTATTGGCACTCACTGTATGGAAACCACTCTTCCAAGCACTTTATATGCAATAGCTCATTGAATCCTTACAAAATCTTGTTATCCCCAATTTAAAAGATAAAGGGAAACAGGCAAGAAAGATGGAGTAATTTGCTGGAAGATACAGACCATGGAGGAGCTGAGATCTGAACTCAGGCCATCTGGCTCTGAACCTGTCTCACTACTCCTACATACTTTGCCTCCTCCCATTTCAGGAGATTCATTGCCAAAAGCTCATTTCGTGAAGTTGGACATTGAACATAAACAGCACCAGGCACAAAAACCGTTATAGGGCATATGCCCACAGGCTGGATAAGGACCAATCCTAATAGAGGCAATACGAACCCCAGCTGCCTGATCCTCCACACCCAAACCAACCCACAAGCAGTGTACTGTCTATGGAGGCTTTTCTATGGAGGAGCTCTCCTCCTGGGGGATGACTTCCACTCATTTTTGTTGGGCTCTGCTGCTGCCCTAAGCAATCCTTTGTGCTTTAGAAAGGAATACAGTATGTCAGGGTACCTTATGATTGCCCAGACCAATTCTGTAATAACCTGGACCTCCATACATCTTAAGGAAGCAGTTCTATGTATACTCCAGAGATATGGCTCTCTTGTGTTGGGAACTTCAGTGACTAGTGATTTACAGACAAATGACCTCAGAAGCTGAGTTCCAGAAGAATAAGGAGGGTGGGAAAGATGGTTCACAGATAGGTTAACCTGGAAGGGCTCCCCTATATGAGGTGAATTTCTAGGAGAGATTTTCCATGGGTATGTGAGGGCTGGACTTACACTGTCTTCCTAAAACAGCAACAATCTACTTACCTGGCTGACTCTTTTCCTGAAGAGAACCAACAAGCCTTTTATTCCCAACTTTGACCAGTGACAGATGAACTCCCCCAAATCCTGATCCCCACAACATGACCCACCTGTTCTCTGTGGCTTCCTGGGGTGAACTGGGATGAAGTTGGGCATAGACATTGTAAGAACATCTGAGGAAGGCAGGGTCTGGGGGTGGCCTCCACACCTTCCTAATATCGGGCTGAATGAGGTCTATTACGGGCTGGGGAGGGAATGAGGGGTTCTTGCTTACGGTTCCCCCTGAGGCTGCCTGGTGTGCCCTCCTTTGCTGCAACAGCTCCTTCACTGTGATCTTCACCCGGACACCTTGATACACCTTCGGTTTTTCTGGGAAAAGGCAACTGAGTTAGTGGTCAAGTCCAAGGTCTGGTATCAGGCTGCATAGTGATGACTCCCTTTAGAGGCTGTGTCCACCAAGGCCAAGTTTCTAGGTTTGGACAACACAGCGAGAATGCTAAAAGATAGTTTAAGGTAGCCAGAAATTTCAAAGGATTAAGAGAGGCTGAGCAATTTCTAGGGCCCCAGTGGGAACAGAACACATGGAAATTTGTGGGGTCATCCACCCCAGGCTGGGCCCATCCTAGAACAATAACACACAGGTGTCTCTGCTCAGGAATATGGAGGCCAATTCAGGGTTGCCCACCACCTTGGCTAAGGTGGGAGACCCTGGGGTTCTGGGTCCAGCCTGCTGGGAGAAGGTATTATGGATCTGATTTATAGCAGCTGACAGCCCACTTCACCGTGATGTTCCCACTGGTGTTAAGTCTCTTCCATTTCCCCCAGTCCAGGCCTGACTTATGGGGAGGCTACGACCTCTACGTGCCCTTAGCCTGGAAGCCAGCCCCAGCCCTGGGACAAGGTTTGATTTGGTCAGCCCTAACCTGGGCCGGTGGGACCAGAGAGAGAACCTAGTAAAGAGTCTCGGTCCACTCCCTCCCTCCTCTCCTTCTTCTGCCATCTCTCTTTCGCCCTTTTTCTCCGCCTTTCCCGCTCTTCACATTTTCCTCCTCCCTCCTTAGGCCCTGCTCTAACTCTCCCCTTCTTTCCCCTCTCCCCACCCCCTCCCTGTCCGGTGCAGGCATTTCCCAGCGGCACACGGAGCCTTGGGGGAGAGTCCGCGCAGCGCGAGCTCCGGGAAAAGCCGTCCGGAGGCTTCCGAGGACCGCGCAATCGTTAGGAGGAAGCCTTTCGGGAGGAGCCACCCCTGAGCTAGCTGGGCCAGGCGGATTGCCCCGGCGAGTCGAAATGGCCAGGTGCGCGCCGCAGAGGTCTGCCGGAGGGACCCCAGCGCCGTGTAGGGAAGGCCACGGCCCTGCAGAGCTGCAGTGAGTAGGCCGGGCAGGCTGTAAGGCCAAGCCGGGCCGGGCGAGCTTTAGAGGTGGGATCGGCCGAGGAGCCCTGTAGGACTCCTGCCCTGACCTCGACCCTGGAGTGAGCGCCTGGGAGTAGCGCGGGGTGGGGCCGGGCGCGGCGGCTGGGGGCGGCAGTGCGTTTAGCCTGGGCATCTGGTGACAGTGCTAGACCGCCAGCGCCTCGCCTGGTCACTGCAGGGACCGCAGCCGGATAGCAGGGAACCCCTCACCCCAGACCAGAGATAGGGTCTCCCCAGGAAAGGGGTCGCGCTCTTCTTCTCCTAGACCCAGGGAATGTTGCTCTTGGCCCGCAGAGCCCAGGCGCCGCGCCCTCTCCGTATTCAGTCTCCTTTCCTCCCGCTCCCACTTCCTCGCTCGGTTCGGGACTCCGTGGGCAGTAGACGCGTCTTGGGGTCGACACAGAGACCGCCACAGCCCAGTTTTGTGCTACCGATGCGCTCTGCTCGCGTCACGAGCTCACTGTGAACCTCTAGCTCCCCCGCGCCGCCGTTTCTGGGCGCGCAAGGTCCGCGCCGCGAAGTCCCAGGACAAGACGGTGGAAAAGTGGGAGGGAGGGCAGGGGTCCTGGGGGTACTCCAATGTCCGGAGCGGCCAACTTGAGTTCTGGGCCTCTGCTCTGGGGAGCAGGCACCAAGTGGGAGCGGCCACAGCTTGGCCCGCACCCTCTCCGGATCCTGCCCGGCCCTTACTGGCGTGCTCTGACTTTGTGCCTCTCTGTTGTATGCAGGAAAAGCTGTGGAAATACACCCTGATCGAAATGCCCCTGGCCCGCATGATCTGACCCCCCAAAGAAGCAGCTGAATTACCGGACATCGTGGTCAGCAGGAACTGGGTCGCAGGCTGGATGCTGCAGCTGCAGGAACTCTGCGCCTAGGAGGGCTCCTGTGCAGGGAGAAAGGCAGAGATGCGACATTTTTAAAGTTTCACAAAGCATCTGGCTGCACCCAGGTCCCTGGAGCAGGAGACACACAGAATTAATGTTTTATACCTTCGGGTATAGGTTTGAGTTTTTCCCCCCTCATGCCAAGTATTTAAAACCTCTAGAAACCCATGATTTGACAATCAATGATTGCGCGATACTTTCAATTTGAATATTCAAAGGCTTAACAAAATGGACTATCTTCTGCAGAAATCCTGCAGACAGGCACCCCATAGGGAGTCCAGAGAAACAGAGAGTGAGACCCCTTTAGGTCCTGACCCTTGCTTTTATTATATTTTGAGCATTTTGTCCACCTTCCCACAGACAGAG